GGAGCTGAGCGTCGTCGCAGGTTCCGGAGACCTGGGCACAGCCTAGTCGTCCTGACTCCTGGCATACAATATTTTGATGATTTGTTTCCTTTTTAAGAATGGCAGTACGCTGAGAACAATGTACCTGGTCGGTGCTATAGTCAAAAACCTTCCCAGCCTAAGTATGTTGGGAATACAAATGTATTATAAACATACTACTTGAATTTCAAGTATATTTTTAATACTACGTCTTTTTCACCTGGGCACTAGGGGGCGCTATTACACATCTTCTGAACGAGTACAAAACCTCCCGAACAAAAACACATGTGTACAGGACGGAGAAACGAGCGATCTCTTATGTAAACAGAAGCATATGAAAAATAATGCGATCATCAGCAATGGCTCCATATAAATGAAAACTGCATAATGTTACGGAGTAAAATGTTGATCCAGGAAGTGGTATATGTGTTGATAGAAGCGATTTACGCTTTGATAATCATACTGAATATTACCCAGATGTAGTTTTTGATAAAAATGTGATTTTCTCACCTTTTTGCTCAAAATTATGCATTTTTATGAAACCTACCTATATTCAAGTGTTGATAAAAAAAAGAATGCTTTAAGCTAGAATAAAACGGATTTTTTTTTGTTTAAAAGTAGAGGCTCTGATCTTTATTTGGTGTATTGCATATTCAAATATTAGTGAAAATCATCAAAATCGCTGGCGGTGGCTGGCAACTTTTTAAAAAAATGCTGGCGGGGAAAGAGTTAATCATAAATATACACTTCAGTTTGTTGGCAAGTTTCACTAATTTTACTACAGTCTGCACTTTTACATCTCTTTGAATCATCGTAGTGGCTGTTTTTAGGTAACTTCTGATTATTTTGTAGATAACTTTTAAATGTGTGGTTTTTGTCTGGTGTGTCTGTGTGCAATAAATAATGTTTCTTAATTTAACTCATTCATTACTCCACTCGTTACAAAGAACAAAATGATCTAAAAAATAAAATAATAACAAATGAATAAATAAATCTTAAAATGTTTGACCAACCTGCTGGGCAGTTTTATTTAACTCAACTACTGTTTAAAAATGACTGTATGGCTGGCTTAAATGAACCCAAAATTGGTTGGAAATTAAAAAATCAGACACTCGGGTGGATAACCATACTTGGTCCCCTGGTTGATAGACGGGATTGTTGGACTGACGAGCGTCTGCATTGACCTTGTGCCTCCGGACGGCCCGCTGGAGATGGATATACGCCGAGTCCCATACCCTCTCGCTCTCACGGAACCAGTGATCTATCTAAATTTAATTTTTATTGATTAAACTTAGTAATAAATGTCCATTTATTAAACATATTAATAAAAGTTCATTTCCAACCAATTTTGGGTTCATTTTAAGCAAGCAGTATGATCATTTTTATATAATAGTCGAGTTATTACAAATTAATCGTTAAATAAAACTGCCCAACAGCTTAGGTCAAACATTTAACCCAACAGCTGGGTCAAAACAAGTTTGACCATATTTGACCCAACTTGAATTCTTTTTAACCCAGCATTTTTTAGAGTGCTGAATTGTCTGAAACAACTCGATATAATCCAATAACAGAGGCTTTGTTCTGTAACAGCAGAGCATAGCAATCCTCATTAACACATCAGGAAACGATCATTTACAGCAATCAGAACTAATCTGTAAGCGACAGTGATCAGCAGTATCGGCTCATTGTATTGTGTTAATGGTGTTAAGTACATTGCAACATTAGCAAACTCACAAAAGACCAAAGTTTTTGTCATTTAAACTCCTCAAAATTAGCCAAAACTACGTACAGTCAAACTAAAGTAGACAAAAAAATGCATGAAATTGAACTATTGACAAAGCTTTGCCATAAACAGTCAAGGTAATTTAAACAAAAGAAAACATTTAGTAAAATCAATATTAACATGAGACAATCTAAACATGAAAGCAAAAAAAAAAATCTATTTAAAATAGATTTTAAACTATTTGCTATATATTTTGATATATTGTGTTAAATTGGACCCTCTTCAAGTACATTTAGTGCAATTTAAGTGTATTTCTTTAAACACGTTTAAAATTTACTGTAATACTAGAAGTACAGTATATTTGAAGCTTAATTTTTATGTGCTTCAACAACATTTGAATAGCCTTTCGGCTCATAAGAAATGCATTATTCATACACCGTTATACTGTTTTTTTTCAGTATTCAAAGTGATATATTAAAAAGTGCAAGCATCATTAAATATAAATATTAAGACACACACACACACACACACACACACACACTTGACATCTAGAAAACTTTAATATACTATACTTTAACTTAACTTTAATATACTTTAATATAACTTGCAATTGCAGTAGGCCTACACATGGTTATAAAGTTTGCACACTTTAAACCCACTAAAAGCTGAATTATTTAGCTGTTCTTACACTAAGTAAACATGAAATAGCTTATACTTTAAGTAAGAGTAAATTAAGTATGTTTTCTGTAAATACACAAAAATTTCACTTGCAGTATGGTTGTGTTTTTGCATATTTCTTTAAAGCTTAACTAAGCATGTTTATTACCAAAGTTTTTGGAAAAATATTAAAAATTGAATTCATGAGATTTTTAATGCACTTCAAATGTTAAATGTACTATAAATATACTTGATATTCAAGTAGTGTATTTTTAATATGTTTAATAGTCTCTTTGAGTTGAGAATGCACAAAAACACCCGGAAAAACTTATAGAACTAAACTGAACTTTTATTAAACATAAACACAGGCTAATAATACATATTAATAAAGTATACAAAAATAACTATAAAAAATGAATTAAAACGTAAAAAGCCCTGTGACGAACGAAGTATTCACGGCAACATTTAAGCTGTAATTGTATTTTAAATAAATGAGCGAAGCTAACACAAATGCCATAAACGTCATGTTTTGTAAAAATACAAATAAAAAGAGGGTTAAAGAGTGTCAAAATATGGCTGTCTGCAACTATAAATAAACATTAAAACTGTAAAATATACTTAAAATATATACAATAAATTATACTCTTCTGACCTATAAACTTAAAATGATGGTTTGTTTGTTTAACTACATACTGTGCCCTACAGCCCTCATTAATGCATCATGAAAAGATCATTTACAGCAATCAAAACTAACCTGTAAACATCTGCGGTAACGGCTCATTGTATTGTGTTAATGGAAGCCATACATTTCAACAAGCAAGCTCACAAAAGACTTTGTCATTTAAAATCAGTACTGTGACAAAATAAGCTAAAATTACTTCAGTCAAACTAAAGTATGGACAAAGTATTTAGTACAACAGGTGGTTACACTTTAATTTAAGATGATGTGGTTAAATTGTAATTACTCAAATAATTACTGAGCAATTAATAAGTATAACATATTATAACTGGTAATTATAATTTATTGCTATTACTGTAGTAAATACATGTAGTAACATGTAACTATTTCACCTTAAAATAAAGGGTCACCCAACAGGTAAACTATATCAAATAAACTGAGTATAATAAAATAATTTTTTATTATTTTAAATATATATATATATATTTTTTTTTAAAGAAGTCACCAAGGCTGCATTCATTTGCTCAAAAACACCGTAATATTGCATTATTACAATTTCAGCAAACTGTTTTCTATGTGAATATATGTGAAAATTTAATGTATTCTTCTTAAGTTTCAGCATCATTGCTCCAGTCTTCAGTGGCACATGATACTTCAGAAATCATTCTAATATTCTGATTTGTGGATACTTTTCAACAAATGTTGAAAACAATTTATTAAACAGAAATCTTATGTAACATGATAAATGTCTTTACTGCCACTTTTACTTCATTTAAGGCATCCTTGGTGAGTAAAAGCATTCATTTCTTTCTCTCTCTCTGAGAAATGAAATTTTAATGTATCATTTCATTATTTCCACACACACACACAAAAGAAAAACACATACAGCTTAATATTAGTAACAGCAGCAAGACTTGTCTGGCCACGCCTTATTGGCTGAGCTTCAGTGACATCACAGCAGGAGAGCCCCGCCCACACTGGCACAATAGATACAGGAGGCGAGATCTCTGCTCTGTTCTCTCACAAGTGTTAAACCTGTGAGCCGATACACACTCCGGAGCAGAAGAGGGTGCTAATGCACCTACAAAGCTGGATACTAGCTGCTGTAGAACAAACAAAGAAGAAGAACACTTCTCTACGTGCTCTACCATAAAGAAAAAAATCCTCTTCTCATGCATCGGATGTGTTGACTGCTGTGACAATGGTGGAACAAGAGAACAAGAGGTGAGGCTTGTGTTACTGGTGTTTCCTTAACTTTGCATTTATCCAAGAATAAGCAGTTAAGGTCAGAGATTGTAGTTGTTGCATCTGAATTAGTACATGTACAAAACTTGGTCCACAAGTTACATCTAAATGTCTACAAATAATGAACAAAAGTGTGATGTTTTGCCATGAAACAGGACGTTTCAGTAACACAGACAAACAATGTTCAATCTGCACAAAACCCCACAGGTTTGATAAAGAGTGCTTATCTGATGCATTCTTACACTGCAAAAAAAGGCATATCTTGCTTAGTATTTTGTCTTGTTTCTAGTTAAAATATCTAAAATTTCTTAATTAAGATGCATTTACTAGATAGGCAAAATGACATAAGATTATTAGTCTTGTTTCCAGGGGAAAAAACGAAATTAAGTGCATTTTGCTTAAAATAAGTAAAATTATCTGGCAGTGGGGTAAGAAAAATAATCTTGTTTTAAGAGCATTTTACAAGGAAAAAAAAACTAAATTATGTCATTTTGCTTATCTAGTAAATGCATCTTAATTTATGACGTTTTAGATGTTTTGACTAAAAACAAGACAAAAATACTAAGTACGATAAGCCTTTTTTGCAGTGTAACAATGCATTGAAATATGACAGAAAGCATTAAACATGCTATTAACACTTAGCTAAGTGGCAAAGCATGTTATTATGAAAGAGGAAGCTATTGTAACTCGAGCATATAATATCCATATCTATTGATTAGAGTCCTGGCCTGAAGACACCTACATGCCAGTATTTAGTTATAGTAATTGCACCACCAGTTTGCCACATTTCCTGCTGCTAGCTGGTGGTGCTATTACTATAACTAAAAACTGGCATGTCTTCAGGCCAAACCATGGTTAATCTGTGGTTAGTGTAGCAAAACCTATGGTTAATTTGTGGTTACAGTGTTTTAACTATATTAACCATGTTTTTTTTAATTCAAAAACCATGGTTCATTTTCATAAGGGTATTAAAGACAGTGTGGGGATTTACTAATTGAGCCTAGTCTGTGCACTTTCACACCCATTAACACCCAATCCAGGTAGATATGCTAATAGGGCAGGCCCTGTTCTGCCTATTTAGTTTCTTTAAGTAACATTTCTTTATATCATTTCTTTTTTCTCGAAGGTCTGTTGAACGCAACATTGTGCACTGTTTGCGGTGCCACAAGCCACAGGAGAGCCTCCCTGTTCACCTGGCCAGGGTGTGCATGAAAAAAAGCACAGCAGAGGAGAGATCGGATGAGGTGCAGAAGGCCAAGGCTTCCAGCAGAGAGTGGATCCGGAAGAACAGGACCTGGAATTACGAGCAGCTCCGTGAGCTCCTGCCTGACAGACGCTCTCGGATCACCATGGTCAAGGAGCTTCTTCGCCGTGGTTTCTTCATCAGGAACCAGCACGAGGAGTCCGACATGGTCTTGGACCCTGAAGGTGACTCGGCCTCTGTTGATGCTGCCACCACCACCGCCGAATCCTCCGGAGATCCTCAAACCATATCCCATTGTGTAAGGATAAAGATGAAGGAGGTGGGTCTGCATGACAAGTTCCCTGCTCGGGCCAAGCTCCTGGTGGGCTTTAAAAAGTACCTGACTGTGTCAAGGAAGGTCCCCAAGTGGCAACAGGAGGTAAGATCTCTTTTCACTTCTATCCTCAGTAGGGTTGCAAAGGGGTTGAAAATGTCCGGAAAATTTCTGGAAACTTTCCAAAAATCCCTGGAAGATTCCAAATGTCCAAAATTTCTGGAATGTTTTTGAAAACGTACTGGAAAATTTTTGCAACCCTGATCCTCAGCACAATTTCCCAAAGATGGGAAAGATCCTAACTTTAAAAGCTGATCTTATCTGTTTGGTAACCATGGTATTTTCAGGTAGGATCACATTTAGGACGAAAGCTATTACAGGACAGTATTTCCTAAGTGCGTTATCTTATCTTAAAGGGGTGGTTGATTGCGATTTCACTCTTTTAATGTTAGTTAGTGTGTAATGTTGCTGTTTGAGCATAAACAATATCTACAAAGTTACGAAGCTGAAAGTTCAATGCAATGCAGAATAAAACCGTATATTAAAAGCTAACAGAAGCAGTAGCATTTACAAATAACAGTGTATCTAAAAGTACGAGACAACAACAAACAACAATCTTAGGCCTACCATTAAAAGCCGTGCTTGCACAGGTTCTGCACGATCCTCTTCACTAATATCCTCTGCGTCTCAATCTGGCTCAAACTGATAAGCACAATAGACGACGCCATTGTTTACAATACAACCGGAGCACATGCCGCTGAGGTGAGGGGCGGGACGATTAGATGTACGCTAGAGGCGGTTTAGCTAATCACAACACACTGGGCCAGCTAACCAATCAGAGCCCATCGTGTATTTCTGAGGGAGCGGCTTCATAAAAGCAGGAAATGATCAGCGCGTTCAGCGGAGAAGGGACAGAGCGGTGTGGAATAAAGGTAAATTATGTGAAAAATAATGTTAGACTGCACCCCATAAACACAATCAAGCCTAGAAAAAAAACAGTCAGCCACCCCTTTAAGATAAGATGGGAAGAAACAGAACCTCCTAACTTAACTTTAGGGCAACCCCACAGCTGTCCTAACTTCGAAATTATTTGAAAGCTATCGTAAAAACCACACAGTTTTTTCTTCACAGACTCAGCTGTACGGTTAACGCCGGACACCGCTGACACATTTTTGTCAACTCTTGCCCACCCCATCTTTGTGAGCGAAGGTGAAAACTTACCAAATAGTATCGGCTTTGCCTTTTCTACCGAACTTACCAAAGTTTTAGTTTCCGCTGAAATTAAAAGCTCGCCGGTTTTGTTTATCCGTTTTGTTTACCTCATCAGCAGCTCGCGCAGTGTTGGTTGCTTGGTAACAGACCTGAGAGTGGATTGTCGAACTTGATCATGCAATTTAAAATTTCCTAACTAGAGATAAAACACGATTTTGTAAGATAGGATAAGAATCCCAAATCAAGTTGAGATTTGCTTCTGTAATACGAATTTGCGTAGGTGTTACGATGTTCCGTAGGTCTTCTCACTTTCGTGATCTTAATGCTGACTTTTCTTTCTCACCGTCTTGTCTTCATAGGTTGACAACGTGTCACGTTTCCTTCGGTACTTGCAGCCCACTGGGAGTGAGCTGTCATGTACAAACAACAGCGTATCTAAAAGTATGAGACAACAACAAACAAAAACATAGCCTACCATTAAGAGCCGTGCTTGCACAGGTTCTGCACGATCCTCTTCACTAATATTTTCTGGGTCTCAATCGGGCTTAAATTGATAAGCATTATTGACGACGCCATTGTTTACAATACAACCGGAGCACATGCCGCTGAGGTGAGGGGCGGGACGATTAGATGTACGCTAGAGGCGGTTTAGCTAATCACAACACACTGGGCCAGCTAACCAATCAGAGCCCATCGTGTATTTCTGAGGGAGCGGCTTCAAACACATGTTAGACTGCACCCCATAAACACAATCAAGCCTAGAAAAAAAACAGTCAGCCACCCCTTTAAGATAAGATGGGAAGAAACAGAACCTCCTAACTTAACTTTAGGGCAACCCCACAGCTGTCCTAACTTCGAAATTATTTGAAAGCTATCGTAAAAACCACACAGTTTTTTCTTCACAGACTCAGCTGTACGGTTAACGCCGGACACCGCTGACACATTTTTGTCAACTCTTGCCCACCCCATCTTTGTGAGCGAAGGTGAAAACTTACCAAATAGTATCGGCTTTGCCTTTTCTACCGAACTTACCAAAGTTTTAGTTTCCGCTGAAATTAAAAGCTCGCCGGTTTTGTTTATCCGTTTTGTTTACCTCATCAGCAGCTCGCGCAGTGTTGGTTGCTTGGTAACAGACCTGAGAGTGGATTGTCGAACTTGATCATGCAATTTAAAATTTCCTAACTAGAGATAAAACACGATTTTGTAAGATAGGATAAGAATCCCAAATCAAGTTGAGATTTGCTTCTGTAATACGAATTTGCGTAGGTGTTACGATGTTCCGTAGGTCTTCTCACTTTCGTGATCTTAATGCTGACTTTTCTTTCTCACCGTCTTGTCTTCATAGGTTGACAACGTGTCACGTTTCCTTCGGTACTTGCAGCCCACTGGGAGTGAGCTGTCTCTGGACTTCCTGTCAAAAAGCAGAGAGACCCGGGACTTTCTGACGGCCCTGAAGCGCACTGACATGTCTTTAGCCAGCATCCACAATTACATCAAGAGCATGAAAAGGTTCTTAGAGTACTTGACACCAAGGCTGGACATTAAAAAAAGAGACCCGCAGCTGCGGACCAACTGCCAGAGATACACTAACATGCTGAAGACCCTGCGGAAGACTGTACTCAAGAGACGTGATGACAAGACGTGTGACCCGAGGTTAATGGCTTAAATGTTCATTTTGCATTGTCCTTTTTTTACTAATGTTATTACATTACATGTTTTAAAAAGTAATATCTGAGTCTGAACCTAAAGCAATCTTGACAAACGACATATCATTTGAAAGCTTAAAGAATCGAGTTTTCATATTTGGTGACTGATTTTTTCAATTATTTTACAGAGCAACTGTAATTTATTGATTTGCTAGAAGCGTCCTCATCACAGTCAGAGAGCGAGTTCTGATCTTTATTTAGAAATAGCGAAGCACATATAAATGCATGAAAAATCAGTAAAAAACCTCATGTCAAGTGTTCAAAAGATAACATCCATTCTATTTTTTTTTTTTTTTTGAGAAAAAAGGTTTTGAATATAAAGAAAAAACAACAGTTTCTACATTTTTGATGCAGCATGAACTATAACGCACATCCATGGTTCTCGTCGCATGTCTTTTTTTAAAGGGTGAATTGAAATCAAATACTGCCATATTGTGCTTTATACTTCTGAATGTGGTGTCTACTTCATAAATATTGAGAAATGTATGGAAAAACGTGTTTCGGATCACTTAAACCATATATGGAAATGGAGGCGCCCTTATATGGTTACTAATGGGGTTTGATGGCCATCTAGTGGAAAAGCTTGGTACTACACCCAAACAAAATCTCGCTGAAAGCTCATTTTTTAAGATATCAACCTCAAATTTGGAGTAGGCTTGCCGCGATAGACGGTGCTGACGGTCATACCGGTGTTAAGCCACAACACCGGTTACGTCACTTTCCCACAGCGGCACCGACCCCCACCGTCGTTTTGACGTGTTTAAATCATTAAAATCATTTAGTTCAGTAAAAGAATGCAGCGTGCCGAACGACGGTTGTATCACAGATCAGATTTAATTTCTCCAGTGAGGAGAGTGAGTCGAGCCAACTTACAAGACGATCGCGGATGATTTAGTTTCGAAACGAAATGCAAAAGCGCCAATATTTTGGATTTTGAAAAGCCTGTTGACTTTTGCCGTTTATCTAAGGTGATTTTGGAAGTTTTTTTAAACATTCGTTTCTTCTTTAATTGTTCCACAGTGTTTGCCGATTTTTAGCCTACTTTATTTAAACTTTGTATAATTTATTGATTTTATTTGACATCAAGGTGTATGCCGTGCCTCCAAGCTTTCTTACTCGTTTTGCTAATAAACATTCATTCTTATTTATTTGGTTATATATTATACATGTTTACTTATTTCCAGCTTTGTATACCTATTTAAACTTTATGCAAGTTATTTTATATTAGGCATAGCCTGCCCTATAGCATGGTGTATTTTTATTAGTTTTGTTAATAAAAGTTCTATGTTTTATATATAGGCTAAAGTGAGTTTGACGTTGTATTTTGTTGTTGCATTCAAGCAATTGACGCCGAATTGCCGCTAATTCAAAAGTGAAAGTAAAATGCGCTTTTAAGCTATTTAAAAGCGAAGGAAAAGAGGGAACGCCCCGCCCCCGCGGTGATACAGGTATTACCGGTGCTGTCACACGTCGATTAACCGGTGGGAAAATTTCCTCACAGTCACAACCCTAATTTGGAGCACAACTTGCTAAGATTTTGGTTTTGATGTTCTAGCAATTTTAGACCAAAACATGTTTTGCAAAATATATATACAATATAACATTTAAATATTGTAATTTTTACGTTTTATATTTTCGTAAACTTAAACTTCCATAACTTTTTAGTAATATAATTTTTACAACTTTTTTTGCCTCTACAATGATCAAGTGTCTTCTTTAAAAAGAGACTAACCTTAAGTCACTGCTCCAAAGCATTCAAAATTTATACCAATTTAAGTTGGAAATGTCATTTTCAGGTCTATGCTCAAAAAGTGGTTAATAACCAGTCTTGTTTGTTATGTTTAATCCAAACACAGACCTGATGGCACTCCCTACATTAAAGATTGCCAGAAGATTTTGAGAGTGGCAAAGCCAGACTTCCTCAGGATCCATGAGAATCTGCTTATTGGCAAAGTGGTCTCAAATAAAGAGAAGACGCTGTACCGCTATTACTGCGAGGCGCTCTTGGTCTTCCGTCACATGCAGAGTCCAGGAGCTGTGGAAGGCTTGACAGTTAGTTCATGTATTTCAATGAGTTTGTACTCATGATATGATGTAGTGTTTGAACACGTATGCAATAGTAAATTGAACCTTTCCAATGTTGCAGGATGCAGACTGGGTAGATAGGATTGCACAAGGTGGCAGGGTGGTGATTGGCGTAAGGAAGGAGAAAATGGCAAGTATGCAAATCGCCTTGACACAAGACGAGGAAGCTGTAAGTTTTAGTATGATTTAAAGAGCATATTGCATACCCACCAGTGTTTACATTCAGTAACTCTTTGGTGTTATTCCATAGTGCTTTCAGCTGTACTACAAGGAGATCAGGCCTAAGAACATTGGGCTCAAAAAATTCTGCCAAAGTTTTTTTACTTCTACGTCCGGCGAGGCTGTTCACAGTGTCTCACAAGACATGACTCGCCTCCATGAAATGTACGTACCAATAGAGACCCATGTGCACTTGTGTAAATGGATACACTTTATTTTGCCTTGTCAGTCACAGTCACCATTTTATGTCACGTTTTCACACTGCAGGTATAAGCTGACCCCTTTCAGGAGTTATGATGTACGGAGGGCCGTTGAGAACGCTGCAGAAAAGCTACCAGCGCACCAACATAAGGCCGTGAATCATTACCTGGCCCATAGAACTAGTGCGGACAGAAGGCCACAGCCTCAGGATATTGTGGATGCAGCTATGCTGCTGGACTCCTTGAAGGGGTAGGTCTCTTCATTCAACAAGCAAATAATACACCACCAAAAATGTCTACAGCTGATTAGCTAATTTTTCTTGTATTTTAAACACTGTTTTTCTCACTTACACAGCACTTCTTCAGATGATGACACCTCCTTGGCTGAACTGAGTACTGCTGGAACCAGCAAGGAGCAACACGCTTCGCGGAACGACTTCTCTGCCTTTCTGGCCAGGTTTCCGGTTTCGTTGGAGGGCCAGCCACCGACCAAAAAGCGGCGGGTCAATTCAGGGTTTCCTAAAGACCGTGTCTTTTACGACAGGTGGAGAGCCACCCAGTATACCCAGAGAGAGGAATATCTGCTGTGTGAGACTCCAATGCATTAATACAGCACTGACACTCATTAACTCGCCACAAAATCGGCTATTCATTCATTGTGACAAGTGAATTGCGTGAGTGAAGTTATTTCATTCTTTCTTTCAGCACAATTCACACACCACAAGCCTTCTGCCTCAAAGGTGGCAAGGCTGATTGCGCAGGAGGGGTGGAAGGCCAACTATCCAAAGCCAGAAAAAATCGAACGGCTGTGGAAACCAGCGCCCACAGGCACCATTGAGGCAGATGAGGTTATAATAAAATGTGTGTCTGAGCAGGCCTGGACAGGCCTGGTCGTCAAGGACTTTGGAGCTGAGGAGGGTCTAGGTAAGAAACCTTTTCATTTTCCTTGTAAGGGGAGAAAATACCATCACTTAAATATACATTTCAGCCACCGTTAGCTGCACCAAGAACTAAAAAGTGACTCTGGACCACAAAACCAGCCATAAGGGTCAATTTTTTTAAATTGAGATTTATACATTTATACTTTCCCTTGATGTATGGTTTGTTATGATAGGACAATATTTGGCTAAGATACAACTATTTGAAAATCTGGAATCTTTAAATCTGCCTTTAAAGTTGTCCAAATTAAGTCCTTAGGAGTGCATATTACTAATCAAAAATTAACGTTTGACATTTACGGTAGGAAATTTATAAAATACCTTCATGGAACATGATCTTTACCTGATATCCTAATGATTTTTGGCATAAAAGAAAAATGTTTAATTTTGACCCATACAATATATTATTGGCTACTGCTACAAATATACCCGTGCTACTTAAGACTGCTTTTGTGCTCCAGAGTCACAAATACTGAATAGTTAGCCTGTACATGTATTGTTTATTCAGTTGTCCTTTTGATCTTAAAATGTAATGTTCTCTTGATTATAGGGGTGGTCGCAACCCGACCGTTTTCTAAAGGCGACATTGTGTGCGATTACCACGGAAAGGTAATCAGAGCAGCCGAAGGGATGGCCATGATGGAGGGACTTCATGACCAGGCCAGGTACCTCTTCTTCTTCAAAGCTGGACAGAGAGACCTGTGCATTGATGCAAAGACTGGCTGCGATTGCCACAGAGACACAGTTGGCCGAAGAATTAAATGTTGTTCTAAGAGGCCCAACCTGGAGCCCCTTCACTGTGTGATGAAGGTAAACGGAGAGGACAAGGATGTCATCCTCTTCAAGGCGCTGCAGGACATCAGCATCGACACACAATTAAAATTTTACTCTGGAGTAATAAGAAAGTCTTTCCTTGGCCTGGACCTGGACTGGCTGGATGAGTAGGCCAGGTCCACAGATCCATGATCTGCTTCTCCACTGGCAGGCCAGTGCGAGCCAGTGCTTTCAACGGGCTGGTGGGACAAATAGCCTTGGACCAGTAGCACCAAGCCCAAACTCAGGCTGCGTTTCCACTGTCGGACCAGTGCTTAATCAAAATGTCCTCAACACGCCTCTCTGGAATAACAGCACGCAACCTCATCATCTCACCAACAAGACGTTTTCTCACATTGGAAACTAGCAAGATTGCAAAACGGAACATAAATTGTTTGAATTTTTTGGGTTTTTTTTACTTATAGAATTAAAACCCAAGCAACAATGTTTTACCACAGTTCTACAATAAAAACAATGATACAATGATAATTCATTTGTGCCAGGACTGCTCTTTAATCATGCAGAAATAAAGTGGTATTTACTGGTATTTCTCAAAAGAAAGAGGACACACATACTTATTCATTCGTGTCTGTTTCTGTTTATTTGTAATCGCACAAAAGCATGCACATTTAAAAAAAAAACATTGTTGGTACATTCTCATGTGTACATCACATTTCGTTAGAATGATCATTTCTATTACTCCACCAAATTAGATGATCTGCTCTCCAATCTCAATATAGTGTTATTTTAGCCCACGCAAAAGAGGGAGATCCCAAACGAAAAACTGAGGTTGTGATATATTTTATGACACACAGTTAAATATGGATGTCAGGGCAGTCCAGTATAGAGACAAGATGTATTGACAGGTAAAATATGTAACCAAATAAATCCAACAGTCCAACGGAATAAATTGGCTTTGAAATTCACTAAGACGGGAGGTTGGAAAGACCCGGTCCAACCCTGAAATGATGGATGATAGAACAATCATTGGAGAATGACTTGGATAGTGGATGAATTTACACTCCAAAAAAAAAAAATGCCAGAGATTCATATTGCTAGTATCACAAATACCAAACTCCATTTGCGGTAAAGAAAGGCATTACAGGCATAGCATAACAGTTAATGATGTTAAAAAACTATTGTGTACTTGATGTACGTTTGGGTCCCCAGCCCGATTTCCAGGGTGGCGTTGTCTGTATTTAGCACCATAATTGGTGTTGTCTTAATTTTCTAAACATCCAGTAGTGCCACATTAAGGTACTCTTGCAGGTGTATAACACCAGGCTGTATTCTGAAATGTATTAAATTAAACTCTTGGCAAACTAATTAATGTTTAGTGCCCTTGCCTTAGTTGTTATTTACTTGCCAATTCAGCAGACTACAATTAAGTTGGGAGAGTAACAGTGTTGAATAATACATACATTACAAAATAAAAAGCATAAATTATATACAATTATATATTCTACCTGGCAGGGGAGACACCATGAACAAGAAGGTGGTTCACCCAGGGCGAGGCTCGGCCATTGCACTCCGGCCGTGCTGACCCCTGCAAACTCCCCAAATGTGGGCCGACAGGCATGGGGGGTATTCCCCATGAATAAAGGCTCACTGGCAACAGTGGGCTCCGGGATGGCATCCGGCGGCAACCTGTGCTGGTGGTGGGAACTGTCAGGAAATTGGGACGTCTTGTTATGATGTTTTCTGTTTTCTATCATTGGTTTCCACCATCATTCTATGGGTGGAGGTACCTACCTTAAGTGTTTGACCAGAAGACGGTCAACGGTCATTCCAAATGGAGTTGGGGACCCATTACGGCAATCGAGATCTAGCATCGCTAACTCCTTTGGCATGCCCTGCATCCGGTTGTCCTGGCGGTGACAAATGAGTCGACAAATCTTTTCTCTTGCAGAGGAAACCTGCGGCTGCGTATAAATAAGTGTCTATGGCTCATTCTCACCTGTATTGTCGCTTGCGATAGAAGCATGCCAATAAAAAAAATTACATAAATTATAAATAAGCTATTTACTTAACCTAAAGCTAAAAAAAGCTGAGGAGAAAGTTGGAATGTAGCTATTCCACTGAATGGGTGCCATTTCTGTCCCCAGGACATTATTTGTCCAAATAGCATTAAAATTAACTATAAAATACATTTTATTATTAAGCAAAGTGTCCTTCACATTAAGCCAACTGCAAATGTAAAATTTATAATTAAAAAAATTATTAAAAACTACCCAAAACATTGAAAAATAGCATTTTTTTTACATGTCCCCAGTCTCTAACGCTACATTTTAACATGAAATATAATGTTTAAAATCCTTCAGAAATCATTTTCATTTTGCATTTTTGTGTACCTCCATATCCCGTCTGTGCTTTAACCCCTTAACTGTCACCGTCCTGTATACGGGACGCCTAAGTTTACTTGAATATATTACAATTAAATCCTAATCTAATCATGACAAACTATACATTGTTGGAAAGGTCTACGACTCCTAAATAGATATTTTACCACTATTTGTTGTTAAAAAATATGTAGGAACAGTAATGGATTAATTTATGACAAGAGTGCACCTCAAAATATATACATCATAACAGGCGTTCTGACCTTTGTCACAAAAATTCTTCTTCGTTTCCTTTTTCCCTATCACACGTTTTAGTAATCATCATAAATTATATATCATTTCAAAGCTTAAAACCTCCAAATTCATCCTGTGAAAACCATTTTGAAATCGAACACTGCGTTACCTTGGAAATCGTACTTTAAAATCTTTTAGCGGGCTCCTCCCCTGTAGTGGGAGGTGTCATATTTCAAATGTATTACGGTCTTTTAGAATCAAAACTTCTTACTCTTGACAAAATACATATCGTTGGAAAGGTCTGAGTCTCAAGATTTCATATTTGGTGATTATTTTGTCATAGAAGTAATATTGAGAGAGAAATTGATACATGTGTGACAGAAAAATGCATCAAAAAAAATTCAATGGAGTTTGGAGTTTGTGGTATAACGCAAAACAAAATTGCATAGGAACCTCAATGTTTTTTTATCAACTTCAAATTTGGAACACAACTTATTTAGACATATGGCTTTAATTTTATAGCAATTTTGGATTAAAACATATTTTATAAAATATTTATATAAAATAAAAATAGTACAGTACATTTTCTTTACAGTAAATTTAAACTTCTATAACTTTTTTATGCTTTCATTTTTTTAAATGATTTCACTTCTGCAATAATCTGCAGATTATCTTCTTTAAAAAGAGACCAACCTTAGGTCTGTATTCTAAAGCGTTTATGAACTAGATAAAAAAGTTCATCAAGACAAACTTTAGGTTGGCTTGAGAAAGCCTAGCCTGAAAGTTTAAAGCAGTTGTAAAAGCCTGAAGTTTGAAAATTTAGATAGATTAGATAGATGTTGATAACGTTCCTAGCATGATTAGCATTTTTTTAGCATGACTAGCCTGTTACTAGCATATTGGTGGCATGATTAGCAAGTGACTAGCATGTCACTAGCATGATTAACAAGTTACTAACATGTTGCTAGCATTTTTATAGCATGATTAGCATGCTACTAGCATTATTAACAAGTGACTAGCATGTTGCTAGCGTGATTAGCAAGTTACTAGCACGTTTCTAGCATGGTTAGCATGCTACTAGCATGATTAGCATTTCGCTAGGATAGATAGATTTCTAGCATGATTAAGATGTCGCTAGGATAGATAGATAGATAGATAGAAATAGTCAGATGATAGATAGATAGATAGATAAATAGATAGATAGATAGAAATAGTCCGATGATAGATAGATAGATAGATAGATAGAAGGATAGATAGAAATAGTCAGATGATAGACAGATAGATGCAGCTGCTAGAATACCCGTGTGGTTGCTAAGGTGTTGCTAGTCGGTTCCTAGGGTACTTGGCGTGGTTGCTAGAGCGGTTGCTAGGGTACCCGTGGCGGTTGCTAAGGTGTTGCTATGCGGTTGCTAGGGTGTTGCTATGTGGTTGCTAGGGTACCCGGGGCGGTTGCTAAGGTACTCGGGGTGGTTGCTATGCGGTTGCTAGGGTACCCAGGGTGGTTTCTAAAATGTTGCTATGCGGTTGCTAGGGTACTCTGGGTGGTTGCTAAGGCGTTGCTATGTGGTTGCTAGGGTACTTGGATTGGTTGCTAGGGCAATTGCTAGGGTACCGGGGTGGTTGCTAGGGTGTTGCTATGCAGTTGCCAGGGTACTTGGGGTAGGTACCTGGGGTGGTTGCTAGGGTATTTTAAATGTCATATTGGTATTTTCACACACAATACATTTGGCAATGAATACAACATATACTCTGTGGGTTCTGTCTCTTGTTTGTAAAAGCATGAACACCCGTCCCTCCATATGTTGTTTCTACGGCGTGAGGACGCACCTTCTGGGAGGGGGGCGATATGTCACGCCTCTGGACTGTTTGTGTGTGTTTTTCTCCCCATGTGCTCCCCGTGACCCAGTTTCTCCCTTGTTTGATTGTGTTCATTTGGTTCAGGTGTGTCGTGTTAATTGGCCTTGTTTCCCCATGTATTTAAGCCCTAGTCTGTGCAGTCTATGTTTGCCGGGTCTCAAACATCATGTTTGTGTGTTACAGCCATTCCTAGTGTGGATTACCCCCTTGTTTTGGATTTATTAAAGACTGTTTCTCTTATCCACATCTCCGTCATTCTCTCTGACACAGTGCGTGACATAATGCACTTTAAATAAATGACATGTTTTTTATTATTATTATTTCAGTGCAGCGACTACCCTGATCATGCAGCAATGACTCAAAACCTCCTATCAATCACAGAGCAATGCACTAAGAACTGCTCAGAACACCTTCGCAACCTCATAGCATGACTCTGGCAACTGACTTGGCATCATGCCAGCAAGTTTTGAACATGCATGTACCATACTTAAAAAAAACTGTTTAAAAAAACTGTGTAAAAAAAAAGTTCCAGCTGTTTTATCCAGCTAGATCCATATTTTTTTTTCATTATTCCATCTGTCCAGCCATCTCCTATTTACAGCATCTGTGAATAATCAATCAAGTCATCAATGGATGCATCATACACAGGTGTTTGAGGTTGTGTGTTTCCTGCAGTTATGTTCAGATAAGTGAAAGTGACTGATATAATGTGAGTATGTACTTGAGTCTGATTGGCGTCTGCCTGGGGCAGCAGATGTTGGTTGGATGCCGATGCAGAAAACTCTTTACACCAGTGGGGAATGGAGAATATTGTCATTTCCTAACATTCAACCATCTGCAATTACTTACCACATGACTTGTAAGTTTTCTGACACACTGTTAAGCCATGTCTTCTCAAAAGATTGTCATTTTGACTGGCCAAGCGTAGAGTTCATGTAATTGCCATCACTGTTGGTTTTGTACCTGGTTAGAAGTGGAATGCCTAATGCAATTTAATAAGGGCCATTTCCCAATTAATCCCTCAGCTGAAGTCCCACCAAACACCCTAAACTAGACCAGAGTGGTTTCTGTCACAGTGAAT